TGATGTCTCTGTACCCATAACAACGAAGATGAAGTAAAGATGAACAGCTGGACCAGATCAAATGCTAACAGAAGAAATTCTCCAGGAACTGATACAATTTTTAAAGTACCAATGAAATATGGATCTCAAAATTTCTGAAGAAAGAGACTTACCAAATGACTGAAAAAAATCATAGACAGTGTCAATAACCTTTAGAACTGTTCATAAAGCTGTTCACAAGTGACCTACTTTCTCATTAGACAAAATATAAGAATGATCTACACATATATTGAACAAATCATTGATGAGAGTTTGAGAAAGGAACATAGAGACAGGAAATTCTAATAGACATCACACATTTTTACAGTCAAACAACTGATTGAAAAGTGAAAAGAATAAAAGATTCCCACCTTGTTTAGTCTTTGATTGTTTAAAAAAATTAAAAAGCATTTAACTTGACAGCACAAAATGTGGCTTTGAGGGTTCTCCTTCAACAAGATGTCTCCCATGTGTTAAAGAAAATATTCAGTCCTCTGCATTTTTTTTATTTCACTAAAGCATTGTTATTACTTGTGTACTCATGAGGAGGATTGGACCATGGACAGACAAGCAGATCTCACAGCCATGTGCTTCAATCAACTTGGGTACAACGGGTTAACTTATCGCTTTATATCTGGGCCAAAGAGATGAAAAATAGATAGAGAGTGATTGATAATTGAAAGATGGATGGGGGTGAGGAAAATAAGTATAGAGGGACACTGACCAAAGCATAATCAGAACATTCTAGAAACAAGTATTGAAAATTGAGTAGGTGCTTCCCATTGCCCTGCTTAGAGACAGTTTTCTTTCCTATGAGAATACATTTTCCTATAGTTTCTTCATGTGAGCAATATTTGGTCTGGTCACAGGCATTTATAGTGATGCCAGCCTCTCTTGAAATGTGACAAAATAAGGCAGGCCATCCTGATTCCATGCATGCCCATTAGGATAATTTCAAAGTCTTTGAGAGAAGCAACTGTAGGTATAATAACTTTGTGATCCTCTGATTGTCAATACCAAGCACAGCACAGGACAGGGAGATACATGCTCACAAAAGGTGTTTTTCACTGGCATGAAGCATTTTTTGTGTAGACTACAAATGGGCAAAGTATCTTTATTGATGAGGAAGTTCACTGTGCATCAAGCTCCAGGCCTCCTCAATTAAATCTATGGTCACTCAAAAAAAGACAGCCTAACCATTCACACAGGAAAAATCAAATGGATGAACAGCACCTGTTGTCCAGACTATGAACACGTATGTGAGCAACTAAATGTTAGGCATCTAGGTGACACAATGGATAGAGCACTGAGTCTGGACTTAGGAAGACCTGAGTACAAATCCAGTTGCAAATATTTGCTAGCTGTGTGATCTTGGGCAAGTCATTCAACCTCTACCTCAGTTTCCTCATCTGTAAAATGAGGACAATAATAGCACCTACTTCCCAGGTTGTTGTAAAGATCAAATGAGATATTTGTAAAATGCTTAGCACAGGATCAGACACATACTAGGTGCTATATAAATGCTAGCTATTAGTGTTATTATCATTTGCCAATTCATTAAGTTAATCTATCAATGCATATATATTGAATGGGTGCTGTAGTTGGACAATGACCTAATCCCAAAATGGAATTGGAGGAAGAGAGCAGGCTGAGTTGCATTTAGGAAATTTCACAGGGCTTTCTACCATCCCAAGCTGCCACCTTTTCCAAAAATCATATTTTCTAATATCAGTATTTTCCCAGTGATGCTATATGGCTACAAAAATGAAGTATTACAATCTCTTAAGAATAAGAATAAAAATTGTAGGTTACCCATAGGGCAATGGAGAATAGCCTGGTGAAATGCTACGTAGTTTGGAAGCACTGAGTTCAAATCCTACTGCTAACACAGACAAGTCACTTCAACCTTTCTGAAGTCACTTCTCCAGACCGTTATCTCTTCTCAGGCAAACAGCATCTGTACAACTTAATTATTTAATTTTGCCCAGACCCAGACCAACTTGGAAATATTTTCAAATCTAAACACAATTAGAAAAGGGTGGTGGGGATGGGAGGAGGTGGGTGAAATTTTCCAGTCTTTTTATTTTTTTTAATCAATTACCATTCCTTTTCCTTAATATTACCCTAAATCCTATTCAAACCAACAAAACTCTACTGTTAGAAAGAAAAGGTCCTCCTAGCCATCACTCAACCTCTTCATTTTTACTAGATGCATTTAATTCTAGGAGATGACTTAATTGACACATGTCTATAATTCATGGCCAATAGATGGTGATATATAATATTAAGCAATATAAAATTAATTATCCAGACTGCTGCCATCAAAGTTGGCAGTCTTCCTTCTCCTCCTCCTCCTTCATCCATTCACTATAATTACCTAATTTTCTTTTGTGGAGAATGTCTAGGACCACTGAAGCAACCTTTTGCTCTTTTTATGCCCCCTATATGCCTCATTAATTCTAAGAACTCAGTCAATAAGCATTTATTAAGTGCTTACTATGAGCCACACACTGGGCATGAAGAAGGGATAAAGCCTGAAACTATGATTTAATTAATCTAGAAAATTCCCAGGGGATGGAACTCCTTCTATCAATACAGGTCAGTACCTTTTCTGCAATTTTGAGAATCACCTAGAGCATTGAGGGGTTGTGTCTTAGCCCAGGATCACATAACCAGTGCATGTCAGAGGAAGGACTTGAACCCAGGTCTTCTTAGCTGCAAGGCTGGTTCTCTAGCCTCTAGACTCCTATACCTTCTCAAAGACAAAAACAAATCAACCCTTTGCCTTCAAGGAGCTTACATTCTATTGGGTTAAATAAACAGCCACTTGAAGACTGATCTTTTCTGGAGCTCTTCTCAACCTTCTTGTAATCTGGGGTGAGAAACCAGGATTCTCTGGGAATTTCTCAAATCATCTTGCCAGTATGATCTGATAAAGTATACCTAGGATTTGGAGCCAAGCAGCAAAGTCTGGTTAAACTCTCCTTTTTTATCTAATAATGACTCACATTTCTCTAGCATTTCCAAAGTACTTTCCACATGTCAATTCTTTGAGATAGGTAGTGCATATGCTATCATTCTCCTTTTATAGATAGGAAGCGACTTATCCAGGGTCATACAGCTAGCAAGTAACAGATTCAGGATTGGCAACCAATTACCCTGGGTCCAAGTCCTAGCTGCTGCTCCAAGACATTTTTCCCCATTATACTAATTTTGTTTCTTTGTTTGTTTGTTTTTGGTGAGGTAATTGGGGTTAAGTGACTTGCCTAGGGTAACACAGCTAGTGTCAAGTGTCTGAGACCGGATTTGAACTCAGGTTCTCCTGACTCCAGGACCAATGCTTCATCCACTGTGGCACCTAGCTGCCCATATACTAGTTTTCTTTGTAGTGCATGGCACATAGTAGACATTTAATAAATGTTTGCTGACTTAACTTTTTTTACTTCCTATAAAATGGGAGAAAGAGCTCAAAGAGAGATTAAACAGACAAATGAGGTCAGACCACTGAGGTCCTTTCCAACTCTGAAATTCTAAGATCTTGTTGAGTAATTCCTTGGGAAAAACAGGGATTTTAGTAACCTGCCCCTCTTTTAGGCACTCATCATCCTTTAGTGTTTCAAAGATGTTGATGTATCTTTCAAAACAATGTGCTTAGTCTTGGCCAGCAAATCACTTACTTGGGAGATTCAGTCCAATATATAGAAAATTTTGCCGAAGTAATGACAGATGAGACACTGATATCCTTAGTATTATAACCAGCACATTTGCTCAGCAATAGCTACCAGTCCGCCAAGTTCACTAATGTTCACAGAGCTTATATGCAAAGTTCTTTAGTTTCCCAGAATTGTCCTAACCTTTCTTCCTCCTGTCCCTGTATTTGACAGCTCAGGTGCATCCAAGGAAGTTCCAATCTTATCCCAACTGGGAAACCCCCTAACACAACTGTCAGATCGAGAGTCAGTAAAAAAGAAAAAAAAGAAAGAAAAGAAAAGAAAACTTTTCTTTTTAAATATGGCATAATCATTTGGAATTCTTTCAATGATCAAGAGTAGCCAGATTGGAAAATCAAAAAGGCAAGTTGTCCTTTTCCCTATGTGAAATAAAATACAAACCCAAACTCCAAATGGCCCCATAGAAAATGTTAGTCACCTCTCTCTGATTCTCCTGGAAGTGATACAAACACAGAGACAAGATGTTACTTTGGGGAGGCAATAGGAACTAGATCAGTGTTTTCCTTGGTACAGGGATCTCCTCCATAGGGAAATTCCTTCTATCAGCACAAGTCAGCACTTTCTCCGAAGTTTATAGTCTTAGAAATTTTCCTGAAGCACTGGGAATTTAAGTGACTTACCCAGGGTCACATAGCCAGTAAGTATTAGAAGTGGGATTTGAACACAGATCTTCATGACCTTGTTCAAGGCCAATTCTATCCACTATACCATACTGCCTCTCACAAGAGGGAGAAAAAGTATTTATGATAATATTTTCAGTAGGAAACAAGCATCTGTCCAGGGTAGGGAATATTTCAAGTTTAAGAAGAGGACAGGATTCCTGATGAAACACTGCAAAGGACAAAGAATTATAACTCTCCCAGAAATTATCGTATCTTCGGGCACTTTTCTATTCTTGTGAGAGCATTTTTCAAATCACTTTCTTCATAGGTTTGATCAATTACTAGTTGGCAAATAGTTGTACCCACCTTTAGGCAAGACTTCTGTGTTACATGAGGAGAATCAGACATATACTTAAAAAAGCTAATGAAATATGCTTTTTTTAAAGACACAAAGTCTAAATTATTTTTCTAACCTGCCCCATCCCCTTAGCCCCCCACCAAAGCACCAACATGGAATCATGAAAAAAAAAAAAAAAGCCCAAGGATCATGCATCTGGAGCTAGCATCTTCCACCTGTGAAAGGTAAGTGGACACCAGACTCCTGGCCATGAAATCCTCCAGTGGTACAGTCCGTGGAAAACTACCTTACCTGAGACACCGGGGATCCTTGACAGGCAACGAAGGACAAGAAAAAGAACAAGGCACACTGAGATCCTGAAATCATCTTGCTAATTTGTGAGTTTCTTTTCAGGGAAGAAAACCGCTTCTTTTTTCCCTACCCTCCCTCAGGATTGCCTTAAAAGTGTCAAAAGCCCTGACAGTGATTAGAATCCAGCGGTGTGCTAACTTGGGGTGCCTCTGAGAAGTCAAACTGCTTGTTAATGACTTTGAAGGCTAGGAGTCATCAGGCTGCCCTTGTTCTTGCAAGTTCTCTTCTGTCCACCCAGCTCTGTGGTTGTGGTTGTGGCTGTGGTACCGCTGCTTCTGCTGCTGCTGCTGCTGCTGCTCCAGCTGTTCTGTCCCAGATGCAGAGAGAGGCTGCTGCTGCTGCTGCTGCTGCTGCTGCTGCTGCTGCTGCTGCTCTGAGGGCTTATGAGCTAACACCTAAGTGGCTTGGTTTGGCTCTGATTCCATCCCTCCCACTCAAATACCCAGCAAAGCCTATGCCAGTCCTCTAGTTGTAATCCAGTGAGGAAGAAGGGGTGGAGAGGACAGCACCAGCATGTGCCTCTGCCTGCCAAATTGCTGGCTGAGTCCCCAGGCCCTTTCCTTGATGGGGAGGGGAGGGAAGGGGAGAGGGGGGAAGTGCAAATGGGACCTTATTGCAGCCTGCACTGGCTTCAAAAGGAGCTGAAAAGCTCCTTCCGTCTTTGTCTCTTCCAAAAGTGAAGGGCTGCTCCTGCAAAGAATGCCTCTGAGAGCAACCAGCACATTCTTTAGGCATCTGATAAAAAAGAGATGATAGAAATCTCTCAGGGGAGACTGGGACACATGTCCTTCTTGGCTGTTAAAGCCACGGCAGTTGGTGATTTCTTTGGGGATGTAGAAAGAACCATGAAGATGATTAGAGTTGAAAATTAGCACCCAAGAGAAAAAGGCTAAATAACTGTAGTTCTTCTACAGAGCTCCAAGCCCCAGGATTGATTTCATAGGGGTTTTTGAGCTGTCAGTGGCCTTAGAGATCAATGAGTCCAGTGTGGGGAACATTTGGTCTCAAGGTCACTTGTGACCCTCTAGGTCCTCAAGTTTGGTCCTTTAACTGAATCCAAACTTTGTGGCCTCGAGGCCACAGGTTCCCCACCCCTGAATTAGTCCAACCCCTCTATTTTAATAGATGAGGGAACTGTGACTCAGAGGTGAATCAATTGGCCTTAGGTCACATCAGCATTAAAAGGCAGAACCAGGATCCAAACCCAGGACCTTTGATACCGAATCTTGTGCTTTTTTGATTACACCAAGCTACAATTGACTTACTCTTCTTTTTTTTATTATTCTATAAAAGATGAAAATTCCAAATCTTTTAAATGAAGTTGGATTATATTCTCTTTTAGACCTTGCAGGGACTAATTTGTATTTATATCCCCTACACAGTACAATGCCTTGAACATTTAGGAACTATGATGTCGTCACATCCAAAAGAAGTTAAGTACTTTGCCCAAGGTTACACAATTAGTATATCACAGACAGAACTTGAACCCAAATCTTTGGAAAAACAAGATTGGCTCTTTATTTGTCACACCCCCAACCTTGCGCTTAGTAGGTGCTGAATAAAATATCTATTGAAATGATCTTTTTTTTTTCCTGCGTTGAATAACAAGTTCTTAGAGGCATGGGGTTGGTCTCAACTCATTGAGTATAGCACCCAGGAGCCACTCTATTTTTTTTGTTTTCCAGTCATTTCAGTCATGTCCAACTCATTGTGACCCCATTTGGGTTTTTGTTTTTGTTTTTTTTGTTTTTTTGGGTTTTTTTGGCAAAGATACTAGAGTGGTTTGCCATTTCCTTCTCCAGCTCATTTTACAGATGAAGAAACTGAGGCAAAGAGGGTTAAGTGACTTGCCCAGGGTTACACAGCTAGAAAGTCTCTGAAACCAGATTTGAACTCAGGGAGATGAGTCTTCTTGACTCCAAGTCTGGTTCTCCATCCATTGTGCCACTTAGCTGCCCCACTCTAGGGCAATAAAATAATTGAAGGGATATTCTAAAGACAATGACAATCAGAAGTTCTCCTGTCCTCTCTAAAGAAAGAATAAGTTATTGCAGATTTACAGGGTAGTCTGGACTGTAGGGCACAATTGCATTCATTAATAAAGAAAGCAGAAGAATGTAATTTTCTGTTGATTTTGAAAAAAAAAAACCCAAATAGTGCTCTTTCTGGGGTGGTGAGGGATGTAAAAAGCTCCTGTTTCACTCTGTCTTTCTTTTGGAAATATAGTATTCTTTAATTAGACAAATGTTTTCCAAAAGCATCTGACTAGGATCCAAGTCTGATCCTTTTTGTAGAGTGATTAATAGAGCATATTGTCAGTGCTCAAGAAGTTATGATAACTAGGAATGGGCATGTATGGCTTTAAAAGCAGTGTCCTTTTAAATCAGAAAGGTGTAATAAAACCTTGAATAAGCAGGGACTTACCCAGTTGAGGGTCACCCAGAAAACCATTTTCCCATTTTAGTAAGTAGGATCTGGTGAATAATCAAACTTCAACTCAATTTGTTAAGCATTCAGCACCTGCAGAAATCAATACTAGGGTTAGAAATACAAAAATCAAATAGACCCTGATCTCAAAGAGCTTACATTCTATTGGGGAAGATAACACAATAAATAAGCACAATGCTAGGGAAGAAGAACCCACATTAATGAGATCCTAGATCCCTTGGAATATTGGAAGCAGTGAAGGTACCCAGGACAAATAGAGAACAAAGGAAAGACAGATAGACAGACAGACAGATAGATAGATAGATAGATAGATAGATAGATAGATAGATAGATAGATAGATA